ACAGTAAATTTTGTTTTTTTTTTTTCTTTAACATTAGAATATTTAGTCGTCAAAACGTTATCTTGGTTAATATCGGTCAACATTTATAAAATCAAATAACTGTACCAGACAAAAGGAGGAAAAAAAGAAGAGACATGCTTAATCCTTTTTTTTTTTCTCTCCAAATAATTAGCATAAAGACATATTAGTAAGCTGGTCAAAATAATGGTTATTAGAAGAAAAGAAAAAAAAATTTTGGCGATCAAAGACTTTGGTGCATTTAATCCTCAAAGCTAAACAAAAAAAATTTATATTCAATCTATAGACGTCTTGAACTATGAGGTGTTGTTAATTAGCAATAATCCTGTAGACCGGATACATTTTAATAAGCATTTTTTAAATTTTTGTTAACAACAACAACGACGACGACAACATCAACGATGTTTTCGACACTTAAGAAGAAATGAAATAAGCATTACTGCAAGTTCCGTTTGTATGTATGCATCTTTTTTTCATGCTTATATATGCTGCCTTAATTAGCAGCTAAAAATAGTAATAAAAGTCTTCTGAAATAGAACTTTATATAACAAGCTTAATGCATGAAAATTTTTTGAAACTTTTAAAATCACAAGGACAAAACTGCGAACAGTTTTCACTTGCCTACTAAAACCTGTTTTTAATTAATAATGATGATTCCTATCATGTCGTTTTAAAAAAAAATAATAAGAAACTGATATCAGAAGTTATATCACACATCAGTTCTCAGTGTTACAGCCCAATAAATATCAATTATCTGCTGCCGTAACCAAATAAATTTGTGCATAAAAAAAGGCTGGAAAAATGATAGCAGAATGCAAATTACCGTATTTGAAAGTTTTGAAGTGTGTATATCTTCCAAAGAATTCAGAATTATTTGAAGTTATAGTGATATGTGCAATATAATCCGTATTGGATTTTAAATCTCTAAAAAGTTGGCTTTTTACATCAATTAAATCGTTCTTTTTTTTTCTCTAACAACTTTATTGGAACTATAATACTTAATAAAATTTAATAATTTTTTATCAAAAATTTTCAGCATTACTAACTCACTGAACACTACCAGCAGCTTATAAAATGTTCGTCAAAATATGAACAAATTTTGCCAATGTTACTCCTTCAAACGACAGAGTGAAATGAAACTTCACTGAATCAGATCTATTCATTTTAAAAAATTTTTTAATTAATTTTTGTAACCAAAAAGTACCGAAGAATGACTGCTGTACGATTCGGCGGTAGACTAAGAATTTGTCCATCGGCTTTTGCCACTTCACTGTATAAAATTGTAAACCGATATGGATCTGGAATCGGTCTTATCGACCATTTCAATAAAGCATAGTTTGAACCAACATCTTCGACCAAAAAATCTCTTATAACGCTTGATGGCATTAAAAAAAAGTGCTCAAAAATGGATGTTGATCAGCAGTAATAATATTAGCAATATATCAGTTTAACAACTTTACACACCTGAAATTTTGGCTTTATCAACGCTAACACAAACCACCACTGACTATAACAAAATTATCTTTCAGTTATCAATCCACAGATGTCAACAAATATCACAGACAAATAACATATACCACCCACACTCCTTTTTCTAGCATCAATAATTGGATCAAATAATTTTAATAATTCTAGAAGGTAAAAGAAAATTTTTTTCAAAATTTATTTTTTAAATAAAGACAATTTGGTAAGCAGTAATAATTATTCAACAGCATATCAGTTTGTTTGCTGCTAATCAGATGAAAATACAATTAGAATAACCAGGAAACAAAAACAATACGAATTTTAAAGCCAATACTTTTTCAACAACTTTCAACTTGATAAGCTTTCAATGTTTTTGCAGTGAAGAAGACAAACAACAGGTGTAGTTAAATTGTAGTATAACGATAAAAAGGAAAGTAGATAGAGAGAGAGGGCAATAAAATTTTCATAGTCTTTCATTTGCAAGTCTAACTTTAATCGACAATTTTATGCATCAGACTAACCTCAATAAAAGGTCGGAAATGGAACGTCTTTTCATATGATGCATCATATTTAACCGTCAGACTCAAGTATTATATATATATATAATTGTTGAAGAACACTTGAACTTTTAGGTGAAGAGATAAAAAAGCATAAGAAGAGGAAGGAGCTGATTTGAAAACATCTGTAGCTGACTAATATATGTCGCTTAACTACTGTCTTCTTTGAGCCGTTTCTTTATCAACATAATTAAAGTTCTTTCGCTTTTTCACAGACCATTGTTAATTATTTTTTGAAAATCAAATAAAAGCCAATTAGGTGAACAAATTCAGTTTGTCACCTCAAACAACTTTTTTTTTTTTCGAAAATAAAGTATCCAACTTTGCTTTCAA